CAAAAAAGGAAGAATTTTCATTCAAAATATCACATTTTAATCCATAATGTTTTTTATCATGCAGGGATAACAAAGATGTTGCAGAAGATGGATCTATAAATAATTTAAATAAACCATCCTCTAAAATACCATTACCAACCACAACATCATTCAAACACAAACTAACAGACGAAAGTCCAAACATAACATGATAACAAAAAGAAACGAGTCTAGATACTGATAAAAGGTTTCTAGAAAAGCTAGGAACATAGAAAGTGTCATGCAAATATATGATGTGGCCCCGTCTTTAGAACAAGTCTGAAACATCCCATCAGCTTCCACATGTGACCGCATCTTATTTCCCATAACGATGCATCGTTCTCTTTCCGTTGGGGTCCTTTTGTTCAGCAATTCTTGCTTGGTGTTACATATGTGGACAGTTGCACCAGAGTCAATTTACCATGTTTATGAGGTACATTTACGAAATTTGATTCATAACACACTAAAGAATGAAATGTACCTTTCATCTTGAGCCATTTCTTATACTTGATGCAGTCTTTCTTTGCATGTTCCTTTTTCTTGCAGAAGAAAAATTTGAAGTCCTTTTTGCTTGTCGATTTGGTTGACACCTTCATGTTCTTTTTCTTAATTGGAACATGGTAGATGCTACTACCTGCTTACACCTGTTCTTTCCCTTTATGAGAGTTCAAATGGACACTTTCTTGCCTCTCTTGCTTCAGTCTCTGTTCTCCATTAGCACACATCGTCAAAAGTTGATTCATAAACCATTTATCCTTATATGTGTTGTAAGTGATTTTAAATGGAGCATACTCCGAAGGTAGAGTATTAAGGACAAAGTGGACAAAAAATATCTCAGACATGTCAACGTCCAGTGATTTGAGTTGGGTAGAGATGTCACGGAATTCCATAATGTGCTCGCATATGTCACTGTGACTATTATACTTAAAAGAAGCAAACTTTGATATCAAGGTACTAGCAAGTGCCTTTTCAGAGCTCACAAATTGCTCATCAACTGCAATTATGAATTCTTTAGCAATTTTGGAGTCCGGAATGGAGCCCCTGATTTTCCTTGAGATATGACTTTACATGAGTAGGAGACTCAGACGGTTAGACCTCTCCCACTTCTCATGCAACTTTTTCTCCTCAGGGATAGGTGGTCTATCCTCACGAAGCGCCGTGTCAATTTCCATACACCTCAAAGTAAAAATAATTCTATCTTTTCATTTCAAGAAATTTGAACTATTAAGCAAAGGGAAATGAGATGCAGATTGAGACATAAAATTAAAAAGTAAAGCTACAAAATAAAATATTACATGCTTACAATTAATATACATACTAATAATCATGCTTACTCTTTATCCAAATTACTAACTCATATTAGCAATTTTAGTGGTAAATCACTTCATACAACATTATAATGATTTACCTGACGGTGAAACTAACGACATAAAACATCATAGAAAAGTATAATTCAAGACTTTTGGGCAACAATAATTCAACTTAGCCACAATACCTTAAACCATTCTTTCACCCCACCGATCAATTATGATATAATACCTTTCCTTTGAGGTATAGTCATTATTTAAGATGGTGTAAGTTTTCAATGTCATGGATAAACACATAAATATTCTTATATTTTAAAATTATGGGATGCTTTGGCTCGTCACCATAAAATTAAAATAAATATAATTTTATTAAACATAAGTTTCCATTCACAAGATGCTTTGGCTCGTCATTATGTATAGAATACTCTGAATCATGACATATGAACAAATAATTTTATCCATATGAATCCAATAATTAAAAACAATTTATTTTGACCAAAATTGGATTCGAATAAACTTATGACCAAAGTATCACAAATTGATTGTGAACAGTATCATGAACTAGGATAAATCTATCCATAAATAACACAATTCGCATTAATTCCAGTGTACTTAATGCATAAAAATTTGAACTATTCCATAAAATCATGCTTTGACTTTTCAAAGTCTAACAATCAAGGCATTCAATTGTTGTCTTCAACACGTAGAAACTTCTGTCGTGGGGATTGTTACGTGTCTTTCTTCTGTGCATGTTCTGTCCAAAAAAAAAAAAAACACGTAGAAACTTCTATATAATATTACTTTCATTTAAGCAGTTCACCATTGTTTGCCATACAAATATTCAAACATATAAAAGTGCTCATTGTATGACGTTTCATGCTTTGTTCTTTCATACATTGCCATTCAAGACACAAAAAAAAGTCAAACACCATTGGCAGATTATACAGAAACACAGTATCGATTGGTAACAAAATTTTTTCTTCTCGTAAATTCAATTATAAGAATAAAAAAGAATTTAAGAATTAAATCCCATGACCTGCTTTGATACCAATTGATAGACCTAATGGTCTTAAACGGATCGAATAGAAAACTAACATTGACTCACGAGATCCATAACAACGATTCTTGATAGAGATATACAGTGAAAATCTGCACGAGAGTAATACCAATAATACCAAATATTATCACGAACTTAATTTCTAGTAGATTGCAACAGGTTTTTCCAGAGAGTGAGAAATACTGTAATTTATATTCCCCTCATTGGTAATCAATTATCTCACGTTAAAATAATCAGTAATCGTTCCCTCCCATCAATGGAACTGCCAAAAAACTGATTATTTGTTGAACATATTTCCTTATACCTAAGACACCATTTTCACAAGTAAACTACTACTAACCTTACCAACATGCGTTAGGTATTTTAATTAAGATATCCTTATCTCAAACTCAAGTCTGTATCTTATTAATTAAGGTCCACATGTGAGTCCCATTAAATAGGTTCCAACATAATGGCGATGGTGATGGGGTGGTGGGGGTGATGGTGGTAATGGTGATGGTGATGGGGTGATGATGGATGGTGGTGAAAAGGTTTCAACCACTACTTTTTTTTAAAGTATTTATGAGAAGTTATAAGTCATAGAAAATACTTTTAAAAAGTCACCCCCAAACAAAAGACCTATTTTCTCGTGTGAATATTATTTGAAAGATTAATTTTAAAACAAAGGGAACTGTCAGGAAACTGACTTAAACATATTTTTTTATATTTAGGATACCATTTTCACAAGTAAACTACCCACAAACCTAACCAACATGTGTTAGGTATTTTAATTAGAATATCATTTATCTCAAAATTTAAGTCTGTACCTTATTAATTAAGGTCCACATGTGAGTTCCATTAAATAGGTTCCAACATAGTGGTGATAGTGATGGGCGTGATGCGGGTAATGGTGATGGTGATGGGGCGACGATGGATGGTGGTGAGAAGGTTTTAAACACTATTTTTTTTTTAAGTATTTATAAGAAGTTATAAGTTATAGAAATATTTTTAAAAAGTCACTCCTAAACAAAGGGCCTATTTTCTTGTGTGAATATTAATTGGACAATTAATTTTAAAATAAAATTTAAAGAAATTTCAATCACAAAAAATAAAGGTCATTTTGTTTATCTTTTAAAAGTTGGATTTTTGGAATTTTTTGTCATAGATGATTAAATGTTTTAGCTATCCTTTTAATCCCAAAAATGCCTCCGACGTGAACAAATACTATTGGAATTGTTAGAAACTGCTACTTGTAGAGATTCACGAATACTAACGCACGCAAATGCAGAGTTGCAATTGAGAATGCTGGTGTTTAGAAAAATGTAAATGTGATTTAAGAAATACCACAAGTAAAAATAAACCACTCACAACTACTTTACCCCGTCAAATGCTTTCAAGTCCAAAATTATATTAGACATTAAATAATGGTACTACTACAACTCTTGTGGTTGGTTAAGCTAGAGGGTCAGTCAATACGACAATTTAGGGTACCTTGTAATAACAGTAAATTAAGAAAGGGATTAATTTTTTTTTTAATGGGATTCCTATGTACCTTTATTACTCCTTTGTGTGCGCATCCGCTTGTATTTTAATTTTGCAGTATAATGTTACCTTGCCTGTCTTTAAGGAAAGACTTGAAAATTGGAATGCCCGTTATGAACATAATTGGGACTTTACTTTTTTTGCTGCCTGATCAATGCATTGCTGTTCAATGTGGATTTTAGGAAGACACATGAAATTAGGCTACTGAGTTTATGAACATGTCATATCACCTGTTAGTTTATCTGTTGTGATCAAACAAGTTGTATAATAGTTACTAGTTCTTCTATTAAGTTGTTCTTACTATCTTTATGTTACTAGTGATCTAATCATGAAGTGTTAGTTGTTGTGGGGTACCGAAAACCTTCTGCTGCTGAGATTTTTTACTTTTCACTTGCATAATTTAAAAAAGTATGTGCCAAGCTTCTATATGTCATATTTATATTATCCTTCCTGCTAACAACAAGAATATTGTTGAGATGCTCTTGAAAATCCTGCTAATAATTTTTTTTAAAATTTCTGCATGTGACTTTTCAGATGATTGATGATCAGGACTTGGGTCTTTTTTTTTTGCCAATTTTCTTGGTATCTTTATATTCGTACTGGTAATTGCTTATCATTATGTGATGGCAGACGCAAATTATGAAGGCAACAGTGGCTTCTTCAAGTATCTGCTTATCAATATTGTTTGTAGAGCTGCTTTCCAAATGGATATAATATGATGTGTTTGGACCTTCATGGCAACATCACTTGCATTTGACTGCTTTCAATTCATAGACAAATTGTGGACATGTTCATCATAATTTCCCCACCTGTTCCCATTCATAGACAAATTGAGGACATGTTATTATCCTCACCTTTTTAAATTATTTCTTATTTTATTGCTTACTATTTAATAACTTCAACATCTCTATTTACCTTCATGTGCTGTGGAGACAGTAATTTGTTGGATATGGAAGTGGTGTCATGATGGAGTTCTTGATGGTGGGGGGGTCTAGATAAATAATAGGTGCTGCTAAACGATTTATTGTTATAATTGTGTACTATTCTCATCACCCATACTTCACTTCAATAATAGGAAGAGATGAGTGGTGGTACTGCCACAGTTTTACTATAGGTACAATTGGATGAATCTTACAGAAAATCTTGGAGAAATCAATCTGGCTTTAAGGATTCTCCCATCGAACCAATTCTATTATTCCTTTTTCCAGCTCTCTAGTTTCTCTCATCAAACCACTCATGCAAAACCCAAAGGCACTCAAACAAAGAACCATTTTGCCTTCAAGCACCTCATCACCATCATCATTATGGATTTTGTTAATTATCTCTTGTGAGTGTTGAAGAAAAGAATTTAAGATCTGCTCAGCCTTCTCATCACCTGTAGTCCAAATGCTAAGCCTCTTTGCAGGCGGCAATTTCCCTGACTCGAGGTCATTGAACGTTTTGTCCTCTTGCAGTTCTTTCTGGAAGACTGCAAGCAATTTGATCAAAGTGATCTTTTCCTGATATTGTAGTGAAGAGCTTATATTTTCCTTGAAAAGCTCTAAATCATTGTTCAGGTGTTCCTGGAGCTCTCTCCAAGTAACACCACAACTCTGAAACACTGGTAGAAGGAATTCCATAATATAAGCCATAAACTGTAATAGATCTACCATCCTGGACAAAGACCCATGGAGCTTAGTGTAACAAGAACGACGAAAAGGCAAAAACCAGAAATCTGGCTCCAACTCGGCACCTTCTGTGAATTTCTCAAAGTCATTGACTTGGGATTTCAGTTTCCTCTGTTTCTTTCTTAGAGCTAGAAAATTCAAAGCTGGATTTTTTTCCTTGCTCGAATGAGGAACTATTTGCTCTATGCAATCTTGAAGTGTCCCCAAGCTCAGAGAAAGTTGTTTTTTCACCAGAGTTGCGGCTCTCATCGGTTGGATGAGAAGCTCTACCATGATCAACCAAAATAATCCGATAAAGGTCTCTGTGAGTCTTGCAATGGCAAATGCATCCGCAGGTCCATAGTTTTTTCTGCCTAAAATCAGTAGTGCTCCTAAAACTGCTGAAATCCCGCCTGCTTGGCCATACATCCGGCTATGCCTTAAAAAACTAGTAAAAATAATCCAAGGCAGAAGCAGTAGGAACCTTATCTCTGCAAAGTTTTTAAAAATGAAGCAACCCAGAACTCCATAGACTGATCCCATTGCTGTCCCTTGTGCTCGTGTATTCGCAACTGTAAATGTTGGTTGTGTTCCTGTTGCGAAGCTGATGGCAATGGAGAGCCCTGCCCAGTACCCATTTTCTTTGTTGAAAATCAGACCGGAAAACACAGCCAGACCCAGCGAAAATGAACACTTGATTGCAAATACAAGTCTTTCATTACTTGGTGTCAAGTTCCAGCCACAGGTGATTCTTTCGAAGTTACTCTTAGCTTCTTCTTGTGAATTCCTTGATTCTTCAGTGTTAGTTTTCCAACTGCTATCTGAAAGATGGTCAGGATTTTGAGTGATGGTTGAGTCATGTTGGAGGAACTTTATACAGAAAAAGAAGAAATAAGCAGGTAGGTCTTTGTGAGTTGGGATGATGGTTTTAGTGAGCTGGAGGGGTATGTCTAATTTTTCGCCCTTTGTCTCTGGAGCTGTAGTTGCATCTAAAGGCAGAAAGCACTTAGCCTGCTCTAGTTTTAGGCCAAGTTGTTCTTCTATTCTCGCTAAAACCTCCCTGAGTTCATCATTAATAAAGCTGATGGGAAAGGAGGGGCCAGAAGTTAGGGCCATCTCCATCCCTCTTATCCATATTTCAATCTCCTGCAATCTATCTCCTGTATTGATGAAATGAGGTCTAATAGGAACTCTCTCCCAGTGCACAGCTTCCTGTTCCAGAAAACAGTTTTTTAGCTAATGAAATTAGACAAGGCCAACATGACAAGGACTACCAGCAGTGTGCACTAGTTAATGCTACTTTGCATGTGTGATTAGCCCAAGATTTCTTTGTGTCTTGTTGGCACTAGGATTTTAATGGGTGATGAATTTTAAAGTCGTGCAAAGTGTGTCCTGTTAAAATTTGCTTGGTCTATCTATATCTGACACATTCATGCTTCTGTGTCATTGGATTCATGAGACCCATTTATTTGATGGGTTTAGCACTTCAACTTGTTTACCATCCAAAGCCGCTAAGGATAAACCCAAACTCACTACCTCGATTTTGTATCAGGTTCTTGAGTCGTGTAGAAATTGCCGGATTTAGTTAGTTACAGCCGTTTCGAGTGTGTTCTTACCTGCATGAGTTCGATGTTTTCAAGAAGCTTGGCTCCTGTTTCAGCTAAGGGCTTGCCCTGAGAGATTAGCTCAAGTGGAGTCAAGTTGTCTTGGGCAGAGAAGGCCTTCACAAATAGAGATATCCTCTCTGAGGCATTTTCAGCATATAATCGGCATAGCTTTCTGACCTGCCAAGCATCGAAATATCAGCCACTACCACTGGAATGGGATATTAGCAATAAGAATCATTTCTGCTGTACTCAATTTTGGAGTAGAACAGTTCCCTCTGTTGGTGAATGCATACGTTTTGTCTAAATGTTAATTTTTTATATTATATTTTATTATTTTTAAATAAACCCATGCAAGGTCTAAGGCTAGGATCAATTTTTGGGTATGGTATTTTTTTTTGGGTGGCTACCGTAGACTTATCCATCCCTATAATGAATACATGGTTGTTGTTTATTTGATCAGGGAATAATGTGAACACTTGTGGACCAAGTGTGGGGACTTGTACTATCTGATTCCTGATTCTCTAACTTTGGGGTAAACTTTTAGACGATTTATTTTGACCAAAGACGGTCTTACAATGAAAATTGAGTGATTAAGATTTTGGTTATCTCAATCATGAGATTTAACGAGACACTAAGAAGTTTATGCGATAAAGTTGTTGAATTTTGATCGCTAGATTTTGATTTTACGGCTGTGTTTGGGGGTGAAAATTCAGACGATGAATTTCGGTCCATAGGATTCAACTTGTATGCAAAAAACAGGTAATAGATGGACAATTGGACAGCATTAGTGGGTTGAAAAGAAATCAGCTTGGGGGGAGCATTTTATGCTGATTCTTATCATCATATCATGGACATCCCATCAACATTCTTCTTGTCGTCAATCAAATTTTAGAATCAAATTAAGAATTCAAATGACATAAAAATATATTATTTGGAATCTTTATTGTGATTCAAATGACATAACACTAAATAAAGAAGTCCAAGTTAACTGTCATGTCATTTGAACTTTTAATTTGATTCCAAAATCTAATCAGTATAGCATTACTAGTCGCTAATAATCCTAAAGTTAACTACACAACAAGCAATCACACTTTACTACACCGTTATGGTGAGTTATAGTCTCTTTTTTTTTTTGGGTGAAAGGAGAGTTATAGTCAAAATAGGGCACATTCACATAATTCACAATATTTAGCATATAGTATAAGCATATATCATTATCTACCTTTGGAATGCAATAATTTCGATACAAGGATAAAATATTCAATACACATCAAACACCTCGTGATAGTGTCATATGATGTACATCACTTACAAAATACCATATATTCCTAATCAATAATTATCACTTGAAAGTTAAATTTTTTTTTTTAAAAAAAAAAAAATAGTATGACATTGATACGTAGTGTGCCGTATAAGCACTGCATATTTTTCTTCTATACGCAGCATAAACAAACTGGATAACGAATCAATTCAAAGTTTCATATGGACCAAGTAACCAGCTTGCATGCATGCACCAATAGTTCTATGGTTGGATATGGGTACAAATCTAAGAGATATTCTAAATTCTAGAGAAATTCTATTTACGAAAGACGATTCGTGTAGTTGACTGTAAAAAAAAATGTTGGAATAAATTTTAATTGAGTTGAGATGAGAATTTACCGTCATGCTGGCATGGGTTTACCTCATAATAGGATAGCCGTGGGTATGGCAGCAGCAAAGCCACGACGGAAGCCACAGCCCCGAGGGCTGTGCTCGATGCAACTCGAACAGGGTCAATGATGGCTCCAGTTTGCTGTCCATGTATAACAGCACTTACATACACAATAACCAGTTGTCCGAAAGCAATCCGTTTAGATACCAAGTGTGTGGACTGCGGCAGCGCCACCACAAAAGCACTCACCGCCACCCCTAGGGCGGCACTGCCTGCCGAGAACCAGGCAGGCCCCACAAGCCACAGGGACAATATAGAAGCTGGCACCACCTGAACTGTAGCATACAGGGCATGCCAGCAACCCCTTATGGTGTCACCAAGTGTCGAGTCGGACACAATCAGTATGGCAGTCACGTAGGAAAAAGCTGGATATGCAAGTTGAGTCCGGAGAGACTGAGGACCATAGAGGGTGGTGCAGCCCACTATAGTGCATGCCATCACCGCCCGAAAGGCCGAGCTCAGGCGTGTGTACCACACCGCCTGGGCTCGGTGGGCTTGGTTTTCTGGCGTTCTTGCGGCTACCAGCATTTTGTCAAGTCACTAAGGGTGCCGAGAGAAGATGGCTAAAAATGGAGGCAAAGAAAGGGACCGTATTAATAAGTTGGCAAGCCTGGGATTTGCATAGAAAAGACCGTCACAAAGTGCAGGCTTGGTTTGAAAAGCTGGGATGGGGATTTGTAATTGTAGGAGATGAGAAAAACTTTTTCTGGTCATATGTGGGGCAACTTTTTTATTACTTGTGCTAAAAAGTCTTCAAATGTCATTACTGGTAATAATACCTTGTAAGGTTAGTTATACGTCTCAAAATATGAGATTTATCTTATTTTAATTCATAATATTTTAATTATATTATTTTAATTCTTGAATTATTAAATATATTTATATATAATTTTTCAAGCAGATATCGTTTAAATTATTAATAATTTTTAATTATAAACTTATCACATAATATCTAAATATGAGTAAACAAATAAATTAGATAAATCTTGACCAAACTAAATTTTTATTCAAATTTTGGTCAAAGAGCTATTGATATTACATATTTTTACTCAAGAGCTACTCAAATTTTGGTCAAGAGCTACCAAAAATATTTTTTTTTCTCAAATTTATGTATTACCTAACACATTTATAACAAAAAATCGTTAGTAATTTTGATGTTGTGTGCTTGAGAGATCACATAGAAATATATTCAATACTTCAAGGACTAAAAATAATGCAATTAAAATATTTTGAACCAAAATAAGACAAGTTGTATAGATAATTGGGGATTGCTAGTATAATTAATCTCAATTTTAAATACGCATCAAGACAACTTTACTAGAAATTATAATAAAATTTGATTATTTTGGGATTAATTCTAATATTTTAATATTAACTTTGTTTGAATATATACTTGATCTCATTGAGTCAAAACTAATCTGATTGAGTTTGTATCTTGATCTCAAATAATTATAATTTAATATAAATTTTAGTATGGTATCTAACTCGAGACGTAGTAGGTTCTTATGTTAAAATCCCGGGAAATACAACTGTAACACGGAGAAAATAGGCCAATGTGGGGGATCCATCTACGAGGGTAGCCAGGCTTCTTTATTATTGTGCTACTTTCCCCAAAACATAGGAAAGATTAAGATTGCAGTTTGCAGCCGTTTATATTAAAATATAGTATTGCTAGGTGTCACTTTTTTCACAATGCTATACCATTTATTTATTTATTTTGGCATAACAAGAAACAATAGTAGGCAGGGCTTGCACTTTCTTTGTTGTGTAAATTTAGTTATCCACCCCCCCACCCTTTTCCCCCCAAAAAATAGTCCAATGATCATATCTCAAAAAGTATGTACAATATAAAATTAGATAAATTTTAACAAATCTATCTGACGGTTAGATAAATTTATCCAATAACTATCAACATTTTCTCAAAACCTTTTATATTGAATTCTCCCTCAATCCTCCAAAATTCACCACTTCTTACAAAGCCTGATTCTAAAAAGAGAGTGGAATAAAACCACAGTTCTATTTTGATGACAAAATATTATTTTTGACTATGTGAAAAAGTTATGTTTGTGGTGATTTAAACAAAATGTGTTCACAAAAATCAAAATTCAAATCCTTTTTTCTTATATATTAATAATATAAAGCAGTGCAGGCTTCAATAAATTTATCCGACGGTCTCAAATAAACTCATTCGACAGTTACCAACACCCCTTTCAAAATTATTCATATTGTACCGTACTTTCAGGTACGAATTACTCATAATATATATATACTAGTTATTGTCTGTGCCTGAAGACACAGAGTAATAAAAAATGGTAAATAATAAACATATTTGTATTCATATCCAAAATTAAATCACAAACATAGAAAAGAGATAAAAGAATTTAATCATCGATTTATAGTGGGGGTGAGAGGTGGTGGTAGGAGACGGTTATGGCTGTGGTGGGTGGCAATGACGGTGGTGACGACGAGGGCCGCGGTGATGGTGGTGGTGGTGGCAGTGACGATAGCGACGGTTGTAGTGATAGTGGTGGTGATGGTAGCGGCGACGGTGATAGTAGCGGTGGTGGCGACAGTGGTAATGGAGGCGGTGGCGGTGGCGGTGGTAATAAGGGTGATAGTGACGGTGGTAGGGGTGGGAGTGGCAGTGGCAATGGTGGTGGTGGTGACGGTTGTGGCGGTGGTTGTAGTGGTGGCTGGGGGTGTGGCGGTGACGAGGCTGTAGCAGTAGTGGCGATGGTGGTGGCAGCGGTGACGGTGGTAGCAGGGGTGGTGGTGGTAATGGCGACGACCAGGGGCGGTGATGGGGGTGGTGGTGCCGGCGACGGTGACAGCGACGACAGTGGGTGTGGTGGTGACGGCGGTGGTGGGAACAGCGACGACGATGGTAGTGATGGTGGTGGTAGTGGGGGTGACGACAACAGCAAAGGTGGTGATAGTGGTGGTGGTGATAGAGGTAGTGATAGAACGGTTTTAAACATTATTTTTTTAAAAGTATTTATGAGAAATAATTTAAAAATACTTTTAAAAAGTCACTCCAAACACACCCGTAGGACCCTATTTTTCTTATTAAATTTAGGGTGTTAATATTAGCCGTTAGATTAACTTTAAAGTAAAATTTAAAGCGTTCTCAACCGCGAATAACAAAAGTCATTTTGTTTATCTTTTGAGATTTGAATTGTAAACTACTTTATTATATAAATATACTAGTTATTGTATGTGCTTGAAGACATAGAGTAAAAAAAATGATAAACAATAAATATATTTGTATTCATATCCAAAATTAAATTACAATATAAAAAAGAGATAAATGAATTTAAGCATCGTTTTGTAGTAGGGGTGAGAGGTGGAGGGCTACAGTGGGAGTGGTAGGAGACGGTGATGGTTGTGGTGGGTAGCAATAACCGTGGTGGGGGTGGGGCAAGGGCGATAGGGGTGGTGGTGGTGGCATGGCAATGGTGGAGGCTGTGCTAGTGGCGATGG